AAAACTCTCCTGTGCCAAAATGACTTTAAAGAGGTGGTATTATGCTCATTTTTGGGTTCAAAATCTTAATTAGGGGTTGTACCAGAACAGGTTTACATGGTTTAATTTTCAAAAAACACCATATTTTGCTCATACTGCACATTGCTGCGCTCCAATTTTCACCCCATGTGTTGTACGGAGTGATGCATCTTACTTGTACAAAATCTTTGTTGGGAGTTGCACATGCGCAGTTCCCAGGTAAGGACTAGCCAATCAGAAGCAGAGAAGGGCGGGTCGTAAGAAACAAGGTAGTGTGACCCAAATCAAAGCCGCTTCAGACTGAGACTGTAACCTAGCAGATGGTGTAAGTTACTCACAAGTCCACAACCACACAACATCATTGTTCCACATCTTACCATAAACCACTACAAAAATCACCATATTTCAACTCAATTTTACATAAAAATTGGCCAAACAATTTGAACGTTTGCTCAGTAGCTTCCACATCTGGTGTAACATTAGCATTATCGTTATAACTTTAGCTGTGTTAGCCAACATCTGTGAAGTTACATTGCCGTGTTTATTTTAAATATAATTCACAACCAATAAAGCATACTTACAGGTTGTGATTGTGAATTTCCAGGCCCAAACAGAGTCGGAGTTGCATCGTCTTTTAGGACTAAACGTTGAACTGTTGCCGGTGTTATGACGATCTATGCTGCCTTGCTGAAAAATGCTACCATAGCTCAAATCGATAGACTCGACTCTACTCGGTCCTGCTCTGTTTTCCATTACAGATAGTACCCAGAGATGGTATGTAGCTTGTCGTCATTGCGACGCCACACACAACTGCCACGACGTAATGTTTGATGCGACACACACACCAGCGATCCACACAGCTTTCTCTTTTTTAAGTTAAAACGTTTCAACATTACTCATAATGTAAAGACAGATAAGCGGTATGAAAACCTTCCAGCTGTGTTTTCCTCTGCCGTTGTTGCTGCAGCGGTCTGAGGGCTCTGTGAGCGGGTGGCTGGCCGGCCTCACACGCTCCTCCCGCGGGTTGGCGTAGGCTTCCCCCACAGACACTTGCAGAGCTCCTCAACTCCGAAAATATTCAAGCACATTTTTGTTCCGCCATCACTTCTCATAAAATTGTCAATATTCGAAATCTACACAGCTGATTTCACCTCAAAACTTCTCAGAAGTGGATTTAGTGATGAAATTACATACAAAAACTGGAAAATATAAAACTTTCTGTTGCTGGCCTCTGTCTGGCGCACACAATGATGATGCAGTGAATAGTGACGATTCTCTCTGACCAATCAGCAGTCTGTCGTGTTTTCACGTTACATTTTAGTATCCCACAGCTGGCTTGGAACCTTGACGGAGGTGAGGTGATACGAAAAAAAGTACCTGGAAGCAGGTACAGGTACAACATTTCTACAACAGAAAAACAAACAAAGGCGAGTTGAGCCAAAGGGCCTCCGCTCAGACTAGCTTGGTTTGAGGGCGTGCCTGACCCAGCTAGCCGCTTGGCAAGCTTTATGACGCGGTTTCATTGTGACGTCACAAGTAAAGGAAGTGAAGTGAACTCCCTTTGGGCTGGACTTTGGGCTTTTTCACTTTGCAAACCTGTTACATGCACTAAAAAGATATATAACTCAATAAAGGAGAGGGGAAAAGCCAAAAAGCATAATACCACCTCTTTAACTGTGAAGGGCGAAACAAGTAGCTAGAAATGAGCTTTGATGTCATCAACAGGTCCATGCTGATGACAGCATGCGATCTGGGTGCCGTCACTCGTCCTTGGAAGATATCCAAACAGGTTTGAGTCCCTGTCACAAAGTTTCTTATATCTGCGTTTTCATGTTTAAGGGCTTGGAGATGTAGAAATACAGGTGGACTTTGGTTAAAAAAGGACCTGTTTGCATGTTTGACCCTTTTCATATTGACAGTTTTGGGCTTCAGTGCACGTTCTCCCTGAAAAATACCAGCATTTTCCTTGATAAACCCATAAAAGTAAATTTTGCCCAAAATATAGCAAAAACGCATGCACTCTCTAGCTTGGAGCCCATGTTTTAACAATAAAACGTTACATCTTGTTTGAGTAAAATAATGAAAGAATGATGGAAAATGGATGGATAATAATGAATTTATGTCCCAAGGTCGCAGAGCTGGTGACGAGTGAATTCTTTGAACAAGGGGACAGAGAGAGGTCTGAGCTTAAGTTGACCCCAGCGGTAAGTAAGAAAAGTCTTATCTTTCACAGTTTTTTTTCTAGCACACACATTTCTCTCTCATACTATGTTTCCAGCATACACTCAAACCATGTTCTCGATGTGACCATTTTTTTTCTTCTCACAAATGATTATGATGAATGTGTTTGGCCATGGATGACTGAAGATGATATCCTCTCTGTAGGCCATATTTGACCGTAATCGCAAAGATGAACTACCTGCCTTACAGCTGGAGTGGATAGATGGGATATGTAAACCCCTTTACCAGGTAGGTAATCCTTGATGTCTCAAGTTAAAGTTTTACTTTGGGCCTCATTTTAAAAATAAAAATAAAAACATTATTTTTGGGGTTTGAATAGCAAATGTACTCTCTTGTGTCTCCCCCAAGGCACTGCTGAAGCTAAACAGGAAGTTGCAGCCAATGCTTGATGGGATCGACGCCAATCGAAATAAATGGCAGCACCTCTGCTCATCCTATCAGCAGACACGCAGAGCCTCAGTGTCAAGTCAGAGTGTTGAATTAGATGAGCATCCTGAGTCCCATGAGGACGCAGAATCTAATCCATACCCCGACTCCACAGATACTCTGAAGCCAGTTGAAAGCACCAAGTTTGGGTCATTGTCTAAGTGCAGTCAGGATCTGAGGTGCAGAGAGAACAAAGGTTCCTGTGATGATAAACTGGCAATATAACCTCTACAGGGAAGATGTAAGTAAGTGTTAAGTGTTGGGACTCTTCCTATACCATGTGATTTTGTAACACAAAAATAATTTTTAAAAATCTGGGTAAATGAAATCCAGTTTTCATCTGCTGAGCACATTGCTTCTCCCAAGTGTCACTGTGTTAAACTCAGGAGCTTGAATAATTCCAGTTGGTCAAACTCTATTTTAAGGACAGTTCCCCTTCGAGGGAACTCGAACTGCGTCTGTGACGACACTATGGGAACCCCTTTGGGCGTGGCAGGGCTGAATTATGAATGAAACTACTTCAATTCTATTGGTGTTGCTAGAACGGTAGCGTGTGACGGCGTAACCGGAGGCACACGGGACACATTAGCTTCTTTCTATTCAGCAGGCCCTCTGAGTATGTTTGGAAGCTCCACTATCGAGAAAGTTGTTGTCTTACCTGGAAGTCCTGATGAAGCAGTAGAGACCATGTCTGGTAATCAGTTCCAACAATGTGTTTTTCCATGCCCACACTACATCGCGGCTGGGGAGACACATGAGATGTGTGTTTCCTGTCTGGGGATGTCGCACGCCCAGGCAGCTCTCGAGGGGGCTGCCTGCGGCCATGGCGAGGCTCGGTCCCTGAGGCTGCTGAGGTCTCATGCGGCTCTCTTTCGGAAGACGGTCGGATGCGCTCTCCCCATGGCTCAGGCCCCGCGGTTGCTAAGGCGTTACAATGGCTACGGTCATGGGGATCGCAGCGTGATATCTCCGAGGGTGTCGGGACGGCTGAGGCCTTTTTCCGGTCCTCGTCTGCTGACTCCGCCTCCTCTCTTCCCCGTTCGGGAGCCTGTTTCTTGGCTTCTCCCACCCGAGGTATGAGTCTGGAGAGGCTTGCACAGTCTGATTCTGAGGAGCTAGACGTACTTAGCATCATGGAGGATGACTTCCGGGAGCCGGGCCGACGTCATCAGTTATACCGCGCCCAGCTATAAGAGGCGGGGCAGGAGCCGCGGGCCAGCAGTAATGAGTCAATGAGCTTTTCTGCAGCCCGAGCGCCGCCCCCGCTTCGATCCTTGCCATTCTTTCCAGATTTATACAATGAGTTGTGTAAATCATGGACCAAGAGAAAAAAAAAAAAAAAGCTGCTCTGCACAGCTGACTGCGTACCCTCTGCTGGACTACAGCAGCGTGACAGAAACTAAGCAGCACGGCTTTGGAACGATGCCTCGGGTGGAGGAAGTGCTCGCGAGCTATCTTTCTCCCACCCTCGCTTCATTCCTTCAGACACCGGCGCTCCCCACCAAGCTGTGTCGGACGACATCCGCTTTGGTGGGCAAGGCCTACATGGCAGCGGGTCGAGCTGGTGCAAGCCTGCACACTATGGTCATCTTCCAGGCATACCAGGCCGATCTTCTCAAAGACTGTGAACTAGGGGGAGGTCCCTATGAGGAGGACCTGACTGAGCTCTGTAGAGCTACGGACTTAACACTCCGTGTTACCAAGGAGACGGCCCGTTCCATTGGCTGCTCTCGGGCATCCGGGGGAAGGAGAAGGCTTTTCTCCTGGATGTGCCCCTCTCTCCTACTGGCCTGTTTGGTGAGGCAGTGGATGCTATCGTCAGCAGGTTTCAGCACGCTAAAACGCAGGGAGAGGCGTTTGAGCAATATCTCCCCTGCCAGTTTTCCTTGGCGGTCCTCCGCTTCAGGGTGCCACCGGGGACCTACGCATAACACTGGCCACCACCCCCCGCAGAAGTTCAACAGGGTGGTCTGGACAGAGCGGGACAGAGCCAGGTGTTGGGACAAGAAGTTCGCTCTCTGCTGGAAAACGGGGCCAGAGAGCTTATTTCCCCGCCAGTCAGGGAGTCCGGGTTCTACAGCCAGTACTTCATAGTTCCCAAGAAGGACGGATGGGTTGCGTCTGATTTTGGATCTGCGGTCCCTGAACCAATCTCTGAGGAGATTCAGGTTCAGGATGCTCACCATCCCCACCATCATCAGTCACATCCAATCCGAGGATTGGTTTGTCACGATAGATCTGCAAGATGCTTATTTCCACATCTCCATCCGTCCCTCTCACAGGAGGTTCCTGAGGTTCGCCTTCGGGGGCGCGGCGTACTAATATCGGGAACTTCCGTTCGGCCTAGCACTCTCTCCCTGCACGTTCACCAAATGCATGGATGCAGCCCTGGCCCTGCTGAGGCTCCAGGGCATCCGCATTTTAAACTATATCGACGACTGGCTCATCCTGGCCCAGTCTTGGGAGTTAGCGGTTCAGCATCGAGATGTCGTCCTAGCCCACCTTCAGCATTTGGGGCTGTGGCTCAACGTGAAGAAGAGCGTGCTGACGCCCGTCCAACGGACTACGTTCCTAGGGGTGGTGTGGGACTCAGCTACGCTGCGGGCCCTCCTGTCTCCCGCACGCATCGAGTCCATTTTGTCCTCAGTGACCAGAGTGCAGTTAGGCCGCGCCATCACTGTAAAACACTTTCAGAGGGTGTTGGGTCTCCTGGCAGCAGCGTCCAGTATAATACCTTCTGGACTACTGCACATGAGAGCCCTGCAGTGGTGGCTAAAATCCAAGGGATTCTACCCGAGGGGAAATCCACTCCGTCTGATACGGGTTACGAGCAGGTGCCTTTGTTCCCTGTCTTTATGGAGGAAATCTTGGTTCCTGTCCCAAGGGCACGTGTTGGGACAATCTGTAGGCAAACAATTATTTCGACAGACGCCTCACTCACGGGATGGGGCGTGGTCATGGACGGCCGCTTTGCGAGAGGCTCCTGGCAGGAGCATCATTTCTCTTGGAAATGTTGGCGGTATTCAGAGCTCTGAGGAGTTTCCTGCCCACCCTCCGCGGTCGCCACGTCCTTGTCAGAACCAACAATACGACAGTGGTGGCCTAATTGAATCACCAGGGGGGTCTGCGCTCGCGCCTCTTATGCAAACTGGCACATCAGATCCTCCTGTGGTCCCAGCAGAGACTGCTGTCCCTCAGAGCAATGTACGTCCCTGGGACCCAGAATCAGGGAGCAGACCTGCTGTCGAGACAGGGGCTGAGGCCCGGGGACTCAGTTACCTGCTCGGTGATTATGGTACTGGAGTTCCTCCATGACCATTTCTCCGCTGGCCTTTCCCCATCCACGCTCAAGGTGTATGTGGCTGCCATTGCAGAGCTCCACACCCCTCTGAGGGATGGGCCCTTGGGGAGGCTTCCACTGGTTGTGCGCTTCCTACGTGGAGCCCGGAGGATGAGATCCGTGACTCGGTCCAGGGTACCCACTGGGACCTGGCAGTGGTTCTCGAAGCGCTGGCTGAGGCCCCCTTCGAACCCCTGGAGTCGGCTGAGGCCAAGCACCTGACCCTTAAGATGGCCTTTCTCCTCGCTATCACCTCTCTGAGGAGGGTGAGGGATCTCCAGGCACTTTCGATTTCTCCCCGATGCCTGGAGTTTGCCCCGGGGAGGGTCAGGGCCATCCTGCACCCTTGTCCAGGCTATGTCCCTAAGATTCCATCCAGTTTGGCAGGGTCCACGGTGCTGCAGGCGTTTCATCCCCCACCTCATGTGACGGCGGAGGACGGGAGACTTCATCTGCTGTGCCCTGTCAGAGCGCTGGGTATTTACACTCTGAGGTCTTCCCGGTGGAGGAAAGCAGACCAGTTGCTGGTGTGTTTCGGGTCCCCCAAGGCTGTGCTCCCCGCTTCTAAACACACATCAGCAACTGGATCGTTCAGACTATTTCCCTGGCCTATCAGGTGCGCGGTTTGCCTTTAACTATGGCCGTCAGGGCGCACTCTACTCGAGGCATGGCAGCCTCTAGGGCCCTCCTCGCAGGGGCGTCGCTCCAGGATTTGTGTGATGCGGCTGGCTGGCCACCCCTCACACTTCATCCGGGTTTACAGTCTGGACCTTCCTTCTGCACCCGGCACTCGTGAGCTCTCCTCTTAGTCGTGCCTGCAGGTTGCACGCTGGGGGTAGGCGGGGTTTCGGCGCGACCTAAGTGGGTATCTCATTCCCATAGTGTCGTCACAGACGCAGTTCAAGTTCCCTCGAAGGGGAACGTTTCGGGTTACGTATGTAACCCTTGTTCCCCGAGAAGGGGAACGAGACACTGCGTTGGTCCGCCACACCTCACCCCGCCTGGAGTGCCTTGCTTCATAGAAAAGGGCTAATGTTTCCTGTGTGCTGGCGTGCTTATATACGCCTCCGGTTACGGCGTCACACGCTACCGTTCTACCAACACCAATAGAATTGGAGTAGTTTCATTCATAATTCAGCCCTGCCACGCCCAGAGGCGTTCCCATAGTGTCGTCACCGACGCAGTGTGTCGTTCCCCTTCTCAGGGAACAAGGGTTATATGTAACCCGAGACGTTTCCCATCTATCTATCTATCTATCTATCTATCTATCTATGCTTTTCATTACTGAGATGCGATGAAATGAGAGACTACTATTGAAACCAAAGAGGGCCAAATATTACAGTAATGTATTTTTTCTAATGGGAACTGCCTCAAAACCACAGGCCCATTGGAATGCCTTTACAAAACAAAAAATGAATCACTGTGATTTCCCTCTGTCACATAAATTGCCGTTTTGAATGTAGACCGGAGCATGACCTTGTTCCTGTTTCTTACTAACTGTAGACTGTCTTATGTCAGTTGCACATCTTTTGCTGCATGGCATTATTTTCAGTGTTTGTAGGTTAATTGAGCCTTCAGCCTTCAACTTGTTGTGTGACTTGCATGTATACATCATATCAGTATTATATATTGACACATTTAGATGAAAAACTTGTATTTCTAGGTAAGGAATGATAAGATAAATGTGAACGTGAACGAAGTGTTAGTGTATTGACTTCATAAGGAAAGTCACTGAAAAACTCCTCAGGCAGACTGTGTTTGTTTGTGTTCTGTGTGTTTGTGTGTGTGTGTGTGTGTGTGTGTGTGTGTGTGTGCGTGCGTGTAACCTCCTCATTCCTAAAAAATTACACAGAGGATTACAAATGGTGTATTACTCAGGATGTGTTTACTGCATTAGCAGAGCAAAGTAAAGTCTGTGTTCAATATATATTTAAACTGCACACATCAGCATGAAAATCATCCATGAGTTTGTCTCACTCTGGGTAAAAAGGAAATATTCTCTGAAAACAGAACTACACCTTTAGAAGACTTTAATATTACGTACAGCATGTAAAAATTAGGGCTGGTCACGTTAACGTGCGTTATTATAGCGTTAACGCATTAATTAATTAATGCCGACAATTATTTTATGGCACATTAATGCAGTTCACATGCAGTCAAACCATGGCTCACTGATC